GATCTCAACGGTCAGTGGGTATTTTTAAGCATCTTTTCAGTCAAAGTGTGGAATTACATGCAAAGCCCTTGATCTACACTAAGAGGCATGTTAATTAAAAGGATGGAATCAAAATTAAATGACGTTGTGTTTAGCTTCAAAGTGTACAACTTGCACAGTAGCATCCTTACTATGACTCATGAAGCATAATTTGAATTCAGTATATTTTGTTACTGATTTTATAATGACCTATCTAAATTGCTTGTGCTTCTAATTTAGTAGCACAAATGCACAATAGTGGTGTCATGGATTATTAAGTGTAAACCGACCTTAAATTAGAGGTAATGGGATAATGTTGACATCATTCAATTTATGTAGTGTCGATATTGTGACTTTGCGACCATGTTTAATAAACTAAAGGACATCTGTTTGGTGTCTTGTAGTTCTTCTTCAGTTGAAAAACCAAGATTTGGCCTTGAACAAAAAAGTATCAGTTCCAGCAATAAAGTCCCTTCTAGCTCAAAACTTCTGGTCTAACAAGCTAAGAAAGCATGATCCAGTTCAGAAGTTAATTCGAGATTTGCAAAGGGACTTAGAATTGGTGTATGTTGGTCAGCTGTGCTTATCGTGGGAGATGTTGAAATGGCAGCATCATAAAGCCGAAGAGCTGCAGGCTCATGACCCTGATGGGTTCCGTCAGCACAACCAAGTTGCCGGAGAGTTCCAAAAGTTTCAAGTGCTCTTGCAAAGGTTCACCGAGGATGAGCCCTTTCATCAAGGCCCCCGAGTTCAGCACTATGTCAAGAGTCGTTGTAGCCTTCCTTCTCTTCTTCAAGTCCCCCTTATAAAAGGTAAGGCAGCCCTAATAACTCGACGTTTAAAATAACAAGTAGGGATGTATATAAGTTCCATTCTAAGTGACTCTGTAAATTTGTCCTGCAGATGATCCTAAGAGTGATTGGAGAAAAAATAATGACTGCGGAATTACAGTTAAAATGCTGAAGGATGCCATAGGGACATCAATGCGCGTATTTTGGGATTTTCTCCATGGTGATAAGGATGAAGTCTGTGCTATACCTCTGATGGGTATTCACGGTGTTCATCAGGTCGTACTACAAGATCCTTCTGATGCAGACTTACTAACAGAAATTCGTTCAAGTCTCCAAAAGGTTTATAACTTAATCTCATCTTCTGTTATTTTTCTAGTGTATGCTGTTATAATTTTGTAACATACGTTTTTTCTTACTTGCAGAAAGAGAAGAGGCTTAAGGACCTAGTAAAAAGTGGGAACTGCTTAGTAAAGAAGTTCAAGAAGCATCAAGATCAGAGAATAAGCCACGAAACACTCGTTGCACAGGTAGAACTCCGGTTAGTCTCTCGGGTGTTGAGTATGCCGAAATTGACTAGTGATCAACTCTTATGGTGCCATAAGAAATTAAACAAGATTGATATTATTGGTAGGAAGATTTACCTAGAGTACTCATTTTTGCTCTTTCCTTGTTAATTATCATGTAGCACCTTAGTATACAGTAGTACTAGTAGTATACATTACAGTAAAAGAAAGCTTTGCCTAATGCAAAGAATAGGGATTACAACAATGTATAGAAAATAATGCTTAGCTTTTGTCATATACCAAAAATGTATTATGATAAGCACATAAATTTTGTATAATAGAGAAATTAAGCAACCAAAGATGGTGCTGAATGCATCTTGCTGTACTTGCCTGTTGTAACAGAGATCTGCAGCTTTTGTTCATATTCATGTGCATAATTGAATTAAGTAAAATAAATTAACTTAAACCACTGATTAAATTATACCTGATCACTATAAACATGTTCATTTCCTCTCAACTTCTGCTTCAACCTGTGTTCGGCCTTATATTTTGTATAGCTAATGGGCTAATGTTATCGGCCCTAATTCTTTGTTAGGTTGTATATATATACTTGTTTATACAGTATTAAACTACAGAAAATTAATTCCTGACATGGTATCGAAACCTCTATACTCTAAACCCTAAAATCAATACTATAAACCCTAAAAATCTGATTTTTTTTCTACACTCTATTCGATTACTTGACAATGGTGGACAATGGCAAGATCGATCCCTCTTCCCCTTTCTATCTTGGCGCAAGAGATCAACCCGGCAACTTGATTATTCACGTGATCTTGAAGGGTGAGAACTTGACAAGGAGGAAGAAAAGCTACATCAATTTCTGGTTGGCGTTGATGATAATTTATATACCGTGGTGAAGACAAATTTGTTATCCCAGCAACCTCCTGCAACCTTAGACCGTGCGTATCAAGCATTCCTTCAAGAGGAACGTTCGCGTGGTATAGCCCTAAGCAGGCTCAAACTGAGAAGGTTGATGCTCATGTGTTCGCACTTCCTACCGACCGAAGGTCTTTTCAATCGGCTAATCGTGTTGATAAGTCGAAGCTTTATTGCTCTCATTGCAAGCGCTCGGGTCACGATAATACGGGTTGTTTTATACTCCACGGCTTACCCCCTTGGTGGCTAAAAAAGTATGGGAAAAAGGGGGTGTCGCCCCTGCGGGTCAGCCACCTCCGGGGACTGGCAGCAGGCCTCCTACCGTGGCTGCTGCTTCAGGTTCGGTGTCTTCTACTGCTGCCGCAGATCACAGCAATCCCATGGCACGAGCTAATGCCGTGGGCAGCCCTCTTGGTGCTTCTTCCTTGCCCACAAGATACTCTTTCGGCTTTGTCAGAGCTTTAACCTAAGCATATTCATATGTTGTTGAATGTGGTTAATAATCACTAACAAGATAAGATGACCAGTGAGTCTTTTTCCCTGTCTTGGATAGTCGATATTGACGCTTCCCATCATGTTACCGGTGACAGACTCTTGTTTGATGGATGTGCAACTTATATCTCCTTGTCCCATTGGTCTCCTTGATGGTGCTCATGCTATGGCCACGATGGAGGGGCGAGTGTGCTTGGCGGATGTAATTATTCTTGGGAATGTTTTATTTGTACCCAAATTAAATTGCAATTTAATATCGGTGTCTAAAATGATTGATGATTCGCATTGTTTTATCCAATTCACTGACTCTTTATGTGCTATACAAGACCAACACTCGGGGAGCCTGATTGGAGCCGGGTGAACGGATAGATGACTCTACTACTTCCGGCGAATTCCTAAAGTATGTGCGGTGAAGAATTCAGAGGTTTCTACATTTGAGTTGTGGCATCGTCGTATGGGACATCTGTCGAACAAAATTGTCAAGTTAGTGCCTGCTATTAGTGCTAGTTCTAGTAGTAAATTTTTGAATAAAGCTTGTGATATTTGTCCGCAAGCTTAACAATCGAGGGATAGTTTTCCCAATAGTGATAGTAGAGCTAGTTGTATTTTTGAAATGATACATTGTGATCTGTGGGAGTCGTATAAGACACCATCTACTTGTGGTGCTCACTATTTTCTTACTATTGTTGATGATTTTTCGAGAGGTGTTTGGGTTTATTTGATCCTTTTTCTCTTTCTTTGCTATGATTAAATGCCAATTTGATGTCACTGTGAAATGTGTGCAGAGTGATAATGGTACGGTATTCAAACACATGTTGCTGTATTTTGATGAACATGGCATTTTGTTTCAAACCTCTTGTGTTTATACACCCCAACTAAATGGTCGGGTATAGCGTAAACACCAACATATCCTAAATTTTAGTCGTGCTTTGATGTTCCAGGGCAATTTGCCGATTGGTTTTTTGGGGGGGGGGGGATGTGTACTTAGGGCTGTCTATTTAATTAATCGTACTCCATCCCGCTTGCTAGCCAATAAAACCCCGTATGAAATTCTTTTTGGCAAAAAACCTAATTTTGATGAAGTGCGGGTGTTTGGGTGTCTTTGCTTTGTTCATAATAAAGAAGCTAAGGGTGACAAATTTGCTCCTCGGAGTCGAAAGTGTGTGTTTGTGGGCTACCCTCATGATAAGAAGGGTTGGAAGGTGTATGACTTAGACACGGGTGATATTTTTGTCTCACGTGATGTTATGTTCCACGAAAATGAATTCCAGTTTATGACTAGTGACCACTCGACAACTTCTAATGTACATGTCGAAGGGGTGTCTAATGTTGATGGTGGGATCGACAATGATTTTTTGGATGATCTTGAGCATGTGCTCGAGGTTGGTGAAAAACTTATTGAGCTTGGTTCACATGGTAGCCATGACCACACCTTGCCTACCACACCTGCCACCACTACTGCTGCTACCCTGGCTGCTTCTCCTACGGCCACTGCTGCTACCCCGCATACTGCTGCTGCTGGCAGCCTGGTCCACGCCTCACCTACGGCAACCAGTGCTGATGGCAGCCCTACCGTGGCCTCCTCTGCCACTGCTACTGCTAGCAGTTCGGACAGTAGCACAAAGGCGATTTTGGGCTCTTCTACTCTTAATTTGGGATGTGGTCAACGTCATCGACATCCTCCGAGTTGGCACAGTGATTATGTCGCACATACTTTTTCTCTTCCCGGTCCATCTATCTCTCATAACTCATCGACTACTTCATCCTCCTCAGGTACTTCCTATCCTTTAGCACATTTTGTGAATATTGTGATAAATTTTCTATACGACACCGTGTATTTATTACAGCTGTAGATATGGCGGTTGAGCCTCGTAATTTCAAGGAGGCTATGCAAGATGAGGGGTGGAGAGAGGCGATGCAAAAAGAAATTTCCGCATTGGAAAATAATGAGACTTGGGTGATGGAAAAATTACTTCTGGGTAAGAAAGCTCTTAGGTGCCGATGGGTTTACAAGGTCAAGCTTAATTTTGATGGCTCGTTGAAAGATTGAAGGCTCGTCTTGTTATATTCGGTAATCATCAGGTTGAGGGTATCGATTATAATGAGACATTTGCTCCCGTTGCTAAAATGGTCACCGTTCGTGCTTTTTTGGCTATTGCTGCTACGAAAAATTGGGAATTGCACCAAATGGATGTCCATAATACTTTCCTTCACGGAGACCTTGATGAGGAGGTCTATATGACGCCACCTCTCGGCTTCCATGGCACCCAACCTGGCATGGTATGGCGCCTTAAAAAGTCTTTGTATTGCCTATGACAAGCGCCTCGTTGTTGGTTTTCCAAATTGGCCAACTCTCTCAAAAGGTACGGCTTTCTACAATCGTACTCTGATTACTCTGAATCATGGGGCTATTCATCTAAGTGTTCTGGTGTATGTTGATGATTTAATAATTTCGGGGAATGATTCTTCTACAATTTCAACATACAAGTCATATTTGAGTGATTGTTTTCATATGAAAGATTTAAGTGTGTTGAAGTACTTTCTTGGTATTGAGGTTGCCCGTAATCCGGAAGGCATATTTTTATGTCAACGGAAATATACTCTTGACATTATTGCAGAGTTTGGTTTACTAGGGGCACGTCCGGCAGGCACTCCGATTGAGCAAAATCATACTCTGGCTAAATCAGAGACACCTCTTATTGATGACCCCGAAATGTATCGGCGTCTTGTGGGTCGTTTGATCTACTTGTCTTTCAGTAGACCTGATTTGGCGTATATAGTTCATATCTTATCTCAATTTATGCAACAACCTCGTCAAGACCATTGGGAGGCAGTATTTCGTACGGAACGCTACTTGAAAGGTTGTCCGGGTCAAGGGATCCTTTTGAGTTCAGATTGTGATCTACATTTGACAGGTTGGTGTGACTCGGATTGGGCTAGTTGTCCTTTGACGAAACGATTGATTTCTGGTTGGTTGATGCTTCTTGGTGGTTCTCCGATTTCATGGAAAACCAAGAAACAACATATAGTCTCTAAGTTTTCTGCAGAGGCGAAGTATCGTTCAATGTCGACAATTACTTTAGAGTTTAAGTGGTTAAAGACTCTTCTTGACAGTTTGGGAGTCTCGCATCCGCGTGCGATGAGCTTGTTTTGTGATAGTCAATCAGCGTTATATATTGCGCAGAATCCGGCGTTTCATGAACGCACTAAGTATATTGAGGATGATTGTCATTATGTTAGGGATGCAATTCAGGAAGGGGTTATTAGTCCGTCTTATGTGAAGACAACTGATCAACTTGCCGATATATTCACTAAGGCCTTAAGCAAGAACCAATTTTTGTATTTACTTGGCAAGTTGGGCATTTGTGATTTGCATGCTCCAACTTGAAGGGGGGGGGGATGTTAGGCTTTATATTTTGTATAGCTAATGGGCTAATGTTATCGGCCCTAATTTTTTGTTAGGTTGTATATATATACTTGTTCATACAGTAATACAACTACGGAAAATTAATTCCTGAGAACCTGTAAACTTCCATTTTTTAATACAAACTTTGTTGTTGAAGTAAAGGAGAGTGCCTAATCTATCTCTATTTTGTTTTTTTTTGAGAGGTGCCTAATCTATCTCTTAGATACATATAGTAAACATATTCAAGGGAAAATGGGAAAAACACATCTTCACATTTGGCATATTGTAATAATATGTGTTGGATGTGTCAAACTCCTCAAATTAGGAGTGTATTCCATTGACATATTTATAAAGGTTGCCGACCTTATTTATGGAATTAAGACTTTGATTGATTGATTGATATTTATAAAGGTTACCATATGTTACGAAACCTGACATAACATAGAATAACACCCTAAATCTAACTATGATATGACAAATGGTGTATTATTTCCGTCCTCAAACTATTCTTCTCTAAGACATGGGCGTGTATATTAAAAGTAAAAGTAGTACTGGTTTTTGGTAGATAGTAGATAGATCTTTACGGACGGGATGAGTGTGCTCGACCAAGCGAGTGAACTATTACGTCTTGAGTATTATCATGAAGACTTTAACCGACTAAGACAGGTGATATCTGCGTATTTTCTACGATGTATATATATATTTATAGGGTAATTGCCATTATCTTCTGATCATTACCTTTTGATTCATTATTCTTGAGTTTAATGATATTCTTTCTAGTATGTATTTTATTTTCATACCCTCCTCAAATGAGACAAGTGTGGTGCAAAATCAATCAAACAAGTTTAGTGGAGTTGGTGAGCAACTCACTCTGTTACGTCACTTACATTTGCATGGGAGTAGGAGAATTTTTTACCTTTCCTTGACTCATAAACGTTAACTTGTAAGAAGTGATGATTCAATAAAATATGATGCAAAATTTACAAAATTATGCATGATTTTTTACCACCTTATAAGTATTAAAGGGTCCCCCAAACCAAACTTGTATTGTTGGCATGAAATTGATTTATATTAGGTGCCGCTAGACTCAATCTAAACCAACCAACTAAGAGTATAAACTATAAAAATCTCAAAATATAAGTCACAAAATGTTATCCTAGTGCAATGTATGAATAGCGTAGTGCAATATAAGAGTAAAATAAAGAGACTATGAAATTGAAAAAAAAAATTGTACATCTAATATTATATAACTGAACATTTCAGTTGTAAATAAAAATGAACATATAATGTTGTTGCTTATTCATCAACATATTTTTTAAGTTTCAAATGAAATACCTTGATTTGTTCAATTCTCTTGAATGAATATCTTGCAATTTGCTGAAGTATATGATTTAATACTTATTAAATAAATCAACAATATGTTTTTTAATAATGAACAAAATGCTAATGTCTAACATTATTAATGCTAATATTAATAGAACAACCGTTACTATAAAAACGAACATTTTATACAAATGTACAAATACAAAAATTTGTATAATTAAAAAAGAAAATAAACATTTATTTTATAAGAATGAACATCATAATGAATGAAAATGAACATTTATTTTATAATAATAAACATCATAGTGCATGAAAATGAACATCATACTGCATGAAATTGAACATTTAATTATTGAGAAATACCAAATTATTGTAAAATTTGTTCAGTTAAAAAATGTTTATTTTTGTTATAATAAATGTTCATTTCTCAATGAGGGACTAACTAGAGTTGGCTGGTCTCGAGTCCAGCTATTAGCTGCTGGTTCCAACTAAAAAAAAAACTTATATAGGCCCAAACCTGCTGAGTCTACTGATCCACCTTGAATGGGCCATATTTTAACGGCCCATGAAAACAAACCCAACAACAATCCTTAACCCAAAACCCGATAAGATCGGGGCGGGTAAAGAAATAACAGCCGTTAGATCTAGGGCAAAACAAGATTAGTTCCTTCCTTTATATGATAACCTCCAACCCATCGTAAAACCCCTTCTTCCGCTTCACCCCTAAAAATTCTAGAGAGAGAAAAACTCAAGATTATAGAGGAGAGAGAAAATGGCGCAGAGGCTTACTTACCGTAAAAGGCATAGCTATGCCACTAAATCTAACCAGCATCGCATCGTCAAAACTCCTGGTATTTTTTAATTTCTTATTTCTCTTTTTTTTTTTCCCTTTTTTTTTTGATGTGATTTTTGGGTTATTTTTTTTTGATGTTTTTTGGTCGTTGTTTTAACGGCGGCGGATTATTTTAGGTGGGAAGCTAGTTTATCAGACTACCAAGAAGAGGGCTAGTGGTCCTAAGTGTCCTGTTACTGGCAAGAGAATTCAAGGGGTAATTTTCTCCATTTTTGAGCTTTTTTTTTTGTTCATTAATTGATGCTGTTTTTTTTTTTTTTTTTTTTTTTTTTTTTTTTTTATGTATTGATTGGGTATCTTAGTATGATTTTAATGCTATGTAAATGGGTGTTTATTGTTATCAGCTAATTGATGCAATTTCTCAAATTTTGATTTGGGGTTTTAGGATGAAATGAGGTATTTAGGCTGCAATTGTTGATAATCATTTCTGGAATTTATGTTAAAGTTATAATATTGCTTATTTTATTATGCATTATTTATTTAGCTGGGTTTGTTTCTAATTATTGATTAATGATGCTGAAATGTTATATGCATTCCTTTATTGTGAAATGTTGTCGAATTAAGATGTGTTAGGTCTCATTTTCTTGATTTTTATTAATCTTAATGTGAATATCTTAGCTTTAATGGAGATATTGTTGAATTTAGGCTTGTTTTAATGTGCTAATGGCGTGATTGGATTTCGTTGAACTTGGAAATTGTAGTTACTTTGTATTTTTTCGAATGAGACGCATGCTATTTTTACCCGAGAATTGTTAACAGGTGGTTGTGGAATTGGGGTTTTTATAAATCATGTTGAATGAGAAACTTGTATATCGTGTGTTTGTGGAATGCGAATAGCTTTAGCCTTTTAATGCTGCCCAGTGATGGAAAATCATAAATATTGAGTGGCTGCATTTGGTAGTTTGTCATTAGGCTTTCTTCACCACCACTTATTCCTCTTCTTTTCTTTCCTCTCATCCCATCTCCTCACTTATCTCCTTTCTCCCACCTTTCTCATCATTCATACTTCTGTTCTCTACTTACACTACTACTACTACGTTTTCTCGGTGGTGGAAAAAGCCTTTTGACAAGTTCCATATGCTGATAGCTGCATATGATCTACTAAAAGCTATGAGATCTGAGGGCACTACTGGAAAATATTTTATAAAGAAGATGCCATTTGCTCTTGTGGTGACATTGCTTATTCTGCTTTAATACATGAAGAATGGTTCTATGATTTTGTAAAATTTATAAGAATACCCTTTATGGAAGCTTGTTTAAATTTTATTGAAGATTTACTACTCTGTTTGTGCAAAGTTTCCGACGCAACTTTTTTCCTCTGCAACTACAGAAGATTTACGCATGTTATTCATCTCGACAGGCAGTGTATAATATGAAGTACTTATTATTTTTTCAATATGCTTGCCAGTTGTACTTTCTGTTGATGCTTAAATTTTAAATGATTGTGGTACTTCAAACTCTTATGTCTGTCCTCCCCTGAAGTTTACTAGGGGAATTTGTATGTTACATATAATGTGTGAAAGCATTGCCCAATGATGGAAATCTATATACTTTGAGTAGTCATATGGATGTCTGTCGCTATTAGCCTTTACTTACCACCATCACCATTCACTTCATAAAGCTCTCTCTTTCTCTCCATGCATATATACTCACATGAACACACACACACATATTATCTATCTATCTATCTATCTATCTATCTATCTATTTTGATGGTGGTATGTATATGGTTTTTGTGATTGCCCTGTGCATGAGCTGCACATGATTTGTTAAAGCTATGAGATCTGAGGGCTTTTGACAAGTAGTATGACGCCATTGTTTGTTTTGTACATTATGATATTAGTTCTGTTCTAATTTATTCCATTCTTTGTACTTGTTCAGGGGTTTGGGTTTTGTTACTTATCTCCTCCTTTGGTTTAGGAAATCAGGAATCAATTATTTGTAGGGTGTTACTGCTGTAGATAAGTATAAGAGTAGCACTGAACTCTGCGTGCAATCCCCCTGACTCCCTCCTTAATGGTGGATATTTTGATGTTGTTTTATAAGCTTCATCTCCCAATGTGTTGAAATATTTTCAGATGATGATTGTTTCTGTTTAATTTGTATATCCAATCTCGATGTCAGTTACTTGTCTACTCCGTAGTAGTTAACTAAACATTTGAATCCCCTATATGTTATAACAGAGTAGATGATTTTAAATTATGTAATCAAATCTTGGGATTTTTTTGGTACAGTCATTCTGGTAGTCTCAAGGAGATTCATGAATGTATTATTTGTAAATGTGTTGAATTTTACTATTTTTTTAACAGGTTACCAAGTCTTAGATTGTTTATCATATTATATAATTTGCTGGTCAATTGGTTAACTATAAAGTAAAACCAGTCACTCTTCAACAATTTCTGAAGTTCGCCTAATTTGTGCACTTGCAGATTCCTCACTTGAGACCCACTGAGTACAAGAGGTCTAGATTGCCTAGGAACAGAAGAACTGTTAACCGTCCCTACGGTGGAGTTCTTTCCGGTAGTGCTGTTAGAGAGCGGTATGGTTCTTCACACCTGTCTCTTTTATTTATGAAATTTATTGTTTGTGATGGATTGATATTTGTTGGAAATTCCTAATATTGGTTTTATATCGCAGGATCATTAGAGCATTCCTTATTGAAGAGCAAAAGATTGTGAAGAAGGTTTTGAAGATCCAAAAAACCAAGGAAAAGCAGGCTGGAAAGAGTTGAACTTAGAAGCCATTTTTTCTGATGGTAAATTTTGGTGCTTCAGTGAAGCCAATCATGGGAATGGGGAATGTGATGTGAGATGTCTTGATAATTGGATTTGTATCTTACAGTTGGGTACTTTGAGCGTAGTTTCTAGTAGAACTTTGTCGACAACTCTGCTTTTCTGTGTTTGTTCCCTTGAAAATTTTCTTGATTTTATGTCTAATACATCTAAGATAATTGTTTGTGCAATATTAGATGATTTTTTTTTACCTTTGAATCAGCCTTAATGAGTAATTTTCTGGTGTTGTGCTCCTCTAGATGCGTTTATAAGCCTCGAAGACTTCCGAGAGGATGTTTAATATCCGTGTTGTTTTATTACACGTCTACATGTAGTAGTAATATGCAGTATGTATAGAAAAATGCATGAATATGAATGTTAAAAAAATGTGTATAATTATGAAATTAACTAATGATGTTTATGTCCCGTCAAAAAAAAAAAAAAAAAAAAAAAAAAAACTAATGATGTTTATGAAGAATGTATCAATCTCAGCACGATATTGCCATGCTGCCAGATATTTATTAAACATATTTACAGCTCATTACACTACTTTTCTTAATTTTAATATTTCAACCTTAGCAGCTTCCTAATCTTCTTTCACTCCCACTAATCTTCCACCATCTCCCTCAATTTTAGTTGGTCAACTTCCTTAAAACACCCACAAAATATGATTACTAGTCATCCTATCATCTCAGCAATCACCTTCCTCCTGATCCTCTTTCCCCCTTGTGGCAATGCTGTCCCTGCTGACAATGCCGTCTTTGACACTAAGGGCCGGCCACTCCGAGCTAAGTCAAGGTACTACATCCTTCCGGTGGCTCAAGGCCAAGGTGGTGGCCTAACAATGTCACCTAAAAACAGAACCACATTTTGTCCTCTTCATGTTGCGCAGGAGGATCAGGAAATCTACCCTGGCCTTCCTGTATGGTTTCTTCCCAAAGACTCCAGCCAACGTGTGGTTACTCTCTCCTCTGACCTCAACATCCTCTTCAATACGGTCAATATATGCCTGCAATCCGCTGGGTGGCAATTGATCGTTGATCACACCATGAGGAGGAAGTATGTGACAACCGGAGGAGCCATTGGAAATCCAGGGGAGGAGACGATAAGTAGTTGGTTTAGCATAGAGAAGGCTGGGAGAGGGGTTAATATAGATGATTATCATTATATGATTGTGTATTGTCCAAATGTTTGTCAATTTTGTATGGTAATGTGTGGACATGTGGGTGTTTTTGTTCAAGAAGATGGGAGTAGATTGCTGGGTCTTACCGATCGCCCCCTTCATGTCATGTTCAAGAAAGCTAGGAGCCGCTCAAAGTCGTCGTGAGTTTATATTGAATTGTTGGGCTGAATTTATGTTTGCCCTTTCCTCTTTTTGTGACCTCAGCTATATATCAGCTAGTGTTTTTATTCATCTCTGAAATCTCTAATAATTCACGTATAAATGCTGTGATTAACATCAGTTCATATGGATGCCGCGAGTGCAAACTCAGAAATAAGCACTTAAGTACATAACGCGAGTATCTGCTTAATAAAATTGAGTTTTATACTTGAACTCAATGTTGGTGTTTAGATGAGTATGAATGTATGATTATTCATAATCTAGTGCCTACTGATTATTACTTCGTATTACAGATCCTAGTCCCTCTTTATCCTGGGAGAGTCTATCTTACATTGGAGTAATTATTTTTTTGTTACAAATATAAGGACTTATTTGGTTGCGCTCGATTTGTACAGGTTTGCAGAGAAACCTTACATGTCCATAATTCCTTAATACAATTACTTTGTCTATTTTGTTCCCACTTTCTAATCAGATACATGTTTGTAGCATTCGCAATGCCTTTATGCATCTTGTGAGAATGTAAAACGAAGAAACTATAAATGATGAATGTTCACAGGAGATGAATTGTACTGCAGCTAGTTGGGGATATGGTGTTGTAAGTCCCATTGAAAAATATATTTGTTGATCTAGCCTCGAGTGACACTGATGATGATGCTTATATTACTGATGCAGAGTCATACAAATAAACATGTTAGCACCTAAAGTAATACAAGTAGGATTTTTATAATTAGGACTTACTGCCCTTATAGGCATCCCCTGGGTGGTGTGTGCATTGTGGTCAATTAACAAGGTTAATACTCCCTTTGATTTTGAACAAACGTTGTTTTTGTAGAAGTTGATCCAAGATAGTAATAAGCAATTCATCATATATGAAATAACATACATACACTATAAGAAGATGTAGTGTAGTTGATAGTCATGATAGATGTAAATTAAAATCTGGCTTATGAAATCGCATGCTATTGGGAACAAGATTCCTAAATTCAGCATAAGGGAATCCAATGGAGAAGAAACTCATGGGCTAATATATATATATATATATATATCTTAAATTTTTTTTTGTATTTTTTATAATTATTATTTCTTTTTTTTTTTTTTTGTATTTTTGTCTTGTTCTAATTATCTTTATGTTTTTTTTATTTAACTTCTTAGATTAGTCAAATTTAGTAAAGGGCTAACATTTGAAGTAGTATAATGGTCACAATTTTTGTATAGCAACTCAAATTGTGAGTAAAGTCCACCCAAGTTTTTTCCCTATCAACTATTTCATCCACATTAGCTCTTTTTACAGTTTTTTCTTAGGCCTTACTTTTTTTTGGATTGCACTTATTTTCAATTCAATTCAGTTTATAAAACAGGGCATTAATCTCTTTTTTTTTTTTTGACTATCAAATAATTATTCGACTGTTTTTATGTTTCCCTATTGTTAAATTGTTACAATAGCAACAAATTTATGTTAGCCTTCTAAAATGTTCCAAACATAAAAATAGTCAAGTAATTATACTCCGTACATAAAAACTTGAATAGATTATTGAAAATGATTGCCATAATACATTTATACATTGAATACGGACTACAGAGTAATCATTATTCAAGACATAATTTTATACATTGAGTACGGACTACGGAATACTCATTATTCATAACATAATTTTATACATCGAGTACGGACAACGGAGTACTCATTATTCATGACATAATTGCGCACACATACTTCCAAGGTAACTATTCCATAGAAGTTTAGTTTATTTACTATGCCGTTCGTACTACATAATTGACTTCCCAAGACTCTCGCCAGGATCACTAGCTTCCTTAAATTGAACAATAAGTGGTTCGTCATTTGTGACACCCAACAACCCATTCTCCTTAATAATACCTAAATCACCACAATTTTTTTCAACTCCACCTTCTAACGATTTACAATAAGTCCTTATCTTATAAGTATTCTTCTTTTTCCCAGCCACCTCAATGGCGAATGAATAATAGTAATCACTGGGCGCACCACTGGCGGTCACATACGATTGACCGCCGGTGGTCACTTGCCACACCCGGCCCTCGCAAAGCGTAATGTTTGCTATGAAGGCAATACTAACAGGGGAAGAAGAGGGAAGAAAGGCTATTCTAAGAGGGGAAGACAGCCTCAGTGGTACGCCAAAAGAGTTGGCTGTACGAGTTATATAGAGTGGGCATGGTGAGCCCCCTACTCTTTGCGTAAGGCTGAGACCTCCATTACTGCCGTATGGGACAATGTAGTAGGATCCGCCATCGTTCCGTACTGGTTTACCGTCGGTGTCTGCGACACCGGCGGTGAGAGTTGGGAAAGGGGAGAGACATACAAGAATGGTGAGTGCAAATGGGATGAGAGGATTCATTTTTTTCCTACTCCTTTGTGTGGTATTTGGAGGATGGATGGGATAGTAGGAAGGGAAAGAATGTATTTATAGAACGTGTTAGTCTGATTTTGTAGATGGATAGTTTCATTAATTAATTCAAATCGGCCTTAGTTTTGATTATTTCGGGTGTGTTAAGTACGGTCTTTTGAGTAGCATTTAGTAGTTTGACTTATTAAATGCTACCTCTATTTTGAATTATTTATTTGTAATGACTAGACATATTTTATTAACACTTTATGTTAAATTGTTGTAAATAATTCGAAACAGAGGTAGAGTGAGTATTAGATATAATGTAATGGAGGCCTTGTGGGGATAGTGTTTAGATTACTAGCTTTTGAAATTTAATATATTGATATATATAGTATATACTACATATATATTTATTTTATTATATCTATTTGATAAAAGCTTGTCAATAAACTACTTTATTATTAAATACGCATATTTTAATTATCTATGTTCGCGGTTCATATTATTTTATTGACAACTAATAGTTACTCATATAACTAACAAGTAACAACTATTAACACAACTGATAACTACATACCCCTACAACTATGTACATCTTTTATATAAGCTTATCTTGTTGATATGCACTCCGACTTGCATTGGTTAGTAATTGCAATCAACCTTTAATTCATCCCAAAATTTCTTTAAAAATATTATTATCCCCGGCCCTCAATTGTTTATTGTTTGATCAACTTTCATTTACAATGTTATCCTAACACCAGAATTATGGTTAAAGATGTTAGTTTAATGTGGACTTTTCTTAAGAAGCTGTTTTAATATAAAAGTCTTATGTTTGTGTTAAAAAAAAAAAAAATTCCAACGTGAAGACTCATCAGTTGAAATTAAATTTATCTTAACATAAATCTTTTGTTACAATCGCAACATGAATATGAATTGAAGAGCTATATATTGTGAGATTTAAAAAGGGGACACAATGAAGGTGAAGGAGAAAAATTAAAGATAAATTAATGTTGCAAGTTTGCAAAACAAGTTCTTTGCGGTTAAAAAAGAATCGAGAAAGCATTTGTGTTAAAATGGATTTGTAGGAAGTATTATTATAGTGCTTTTATCATATCTATCTTAACGTACACTTCCTCCCTTCTTTTTTAGTTGATGATATTTTTTATCACAACAAATAAGTTCAGTAATTATGACTGTATCTCTAATTTATCAAATAGTAAAAGTTGTAGAAAATAATATAATTGTATATATTGTATCAATTAGAATATTTTTGATAGGCTGTAAAATAGGCAATAATTTAGAATAATTATGGATATTGTTCCATAAGACTTTGTATAAATGTACTCTTCCATCTTTTTGATTAATATAAGAAAAATAGAAAACCTTAAACCAAATTATTGCTTCCGCAGAATCTGACATGGTATCAGAGCCATAAGGTTCGATTTGGGATTCTGAAAACTTTGATTATCATCATTTACCATAATGGCCGAACCACCAGAAAACCCAAACCAACTGATATCCATGGAACAAGTTAAACAGATGTTTCAAATGTTCCAGAACCTTCAAAGAAACCCAACCAACCCAGACACAGGAACACCACAAACCGTGCGTGTTTCTGAGAAATTGAATTTTACCAACTACACCAAATGGTGTAAATTGATGCACATAGCCATTGGTGGTCGGGGACGACTCAATCATATCACAGCCGATCCCGTTCCACCGGAGGACCCTCAGTACCAGCAATGGGCTCAAAAGGACTCAATGGTTCTCTCATGGATTATCGAGAACGTTGATGGCGATCTTGTTAACCAATTTCTTGATTACAAGACAGCCAGAGAATTATGGAAGGGGATCGAAACTCTCCTCAGCAGTGGGAGAGATGAATTACAGATCTACGATCTGAACACAAAAGCAACAACCATGAAACAGGGAAAAGATACCATAGAAGTATATTTCAGTACAATTAATACTCTATGGAAGGAGACAGACAGAAGAATGCCCAATCCCATGAAATGTGCAGAGGATATAACTCTGTTTAATTCATTCATACAGAGGCCACGACTATATCAATTTTTGGCCGGTGTAAATGACACCCTAGACAAGGAAAAAAGGGACATTTTGAATCAGGAGCCCCTACACACAATAGATGCCGCCTATGCCTCGATACGACGGGAAATTGCTCGTCGCGGCATAATGGCCGGCGTTTCATCATCGGGACAAGGTCCCTTAGAAATCGGTACTGGGTTACTCACAAAAAACCGGTCAGAATCAACTTCACTCCGGCGAGAGGATAGGACTCACCTGAAATGTAGCCATTGTGGTGGTACAAAACATACCAAAGATGGGTGTTTCAAACTCATCGGGTATCCAGATTGGTGGGAGGACCTAAAGCAGAGGAAGGCCGCCACCAAGGTCACGGCTTCCCGAACCGGCGGCAAGGCCAACCTTGCTTTAGCAGAACAAGGCACAGGTGGCGACACTCCCACAACGGCAGCGTACCAGACTGAAAGTACAGGTGGTGAAACCACCGTTTGTGGTGGCTCACTAGGTAAGAAAAGGACGGTAGAAAAGGAAAAAGAAGATGAAACCAGAAGGCTCAATGAAGGTGGAAAGATCGTTCAAGATCTTTCAATTTCCAGAAATTTCCATGAAAAAGGAAATAAACCCTCAAATAATCCCTCAATTTCCGGAAATTTCCATGAAAATGGAAATAGTACCTTTTTTTCTTCCTTTTATATAGAAAGAAAAGAAGAACCTAGAATCACTTCCTCTAACCCGTCACTTTCCCTCACCAACCACGTGTCCAATTCCTTTGAAACCTCTAAACCGTCACTTTGCAAACCTCATAAACACGTGGATCATACTCCTTGCCAACCCAATTCTCACGTGGCCCATTATTTACCATGTGACAATGACCCAATTTGGTCCAACAACCACAAAATCCATACAGCCCAAAGTGACTTAACCAAGAAACCCACGAACCAAAAAAACGTAGCCCAAAAACCCAAAACCACTACCCAAAATAAAACCAGATCCTTGGGCCTTGTATGCAAACAATTATCCGACACTTGGATTTTTGATTGTGGTGCCACCGATACAATGACATATGAGCCTTCCGATATTTTATCTCCTACCGATTCCCACCGTACCAAAATCCAAACTGCAAATGACGAGTGTGTATCCATCACCCGGACCGGAACTGTGGATGTCACTTCTAATATTCATTTACAGAACTGTCTTTTAATTCCTAGTCTTACTCATAAACTCTTGTCTATTAGTCAGTTAACTAGGGAACTTAATTGTACTGTTCTTATGACATCTTTTGGGTGTATTGTGCAGGATGCTTAGACGGGACGGATCATTGGTCATGGTACTGAACGAGGAGGACTGTACTATGTGGATGGAACAACTCAACATGGTACCGCTTTGCTTGCCCATGGATCACCGGAACATCAACTCTGGATGTAGCACCGCCGGCTAGGACACCCTTCATTAGGTTATCTCAAACGATTATTTCCCTCTTTAAAAAACATTGTGGTAGACTTAGATTGTGAAGCATGCGTGTTAGCTAAAAGCCATAAACATTCGTATTATCCTAGTTCGACTGATAGTAATCAACCATTTGCTTTGATTCATTCTGATGTATGGGGACCAGCTCCGGAATTTTCATTTCATGATTATTCATATTTTGTTCTATTTGTGGATGATTTTACTCGTATGAGTTGGGTGTATTTTTTGAAACAAAAATCTGAAGTGTTTAATGTCTTTGTTAAATTCTACCACATGATTTGTACTCAGTTCAGTGCTCAACCAAAAATTTTACGATCTGATAATGGGGGGGAGTATATTACCTTAGACATGGAACAGTTCATTCTTGATCATGGCCTCATTCACCAGACCACTTGTCTCGACACACCTCAACAGAATGGTGTGGCAAAACGGAAAAAACAGAACCCTTCTTGAAATCACCCGAGCTATTATGATAGAATCTCATGTCCTTGTCTATTTCTGGCCTGAAGCTATTGCTACTGCTACCTATCTCACTAACAGACTTCCCACAAAACCTCTCAACTATGCCACTCCTCTTGACACTCTTGGTTCACATGTTTCAATTTGGTAGGCGTGTCGCGCACCTATCAAAAATAACCTAACAGACCAATACTAATGTAGACTGGCAAGTAAGGGTCGGATCCCAAGAGACTAAGGTTCAGGAACAATTAATTAGACTCAAATTTCTACTAAGCAAGAATCAATTATAATCGATAACTAAGGGCCTAAAATATAGGAAAAATTCGAAAACAAACTAATTAAGATGATTAAATCAAGCAATTAAAAACATCCAAGATCTAGCTTCACCACAACTATTATTGATGCAATTGTAATTCTACCCTTAACATACGATTTCAAGTGAACGGGGAAAAGTAAACCCTAATAATTACCAAGGATCTCTCTCGAGTATCAATGGCTTCCCTAACATACAATCAATCCTATTCTCATGGTATCATGCATATTAAAGACATTAAACACATTACTCTCACTTCCCAATTATCAAACCCAACTACTCTCGTGTTGAGAATCAAACCCTAAATTGATTTACTCAAATCCGTTTATACCCAACTCTCGCTGTGATAAAAACAATGGAATAATCGCAATACTATAGTTACGTCTAACCTAGCATTGACATAATCACAATCAATTTAGCAATTCAATTGTTAAAGTTATTAAAGAATTTAAAGATTTAATTCATGCATCAATAATAATAGGGCTACACTAGATCTTGAATTAAAGAATCTACTCACACATGATTAAAGAAACGAAAACAACAATAAATAATGAAAACATAATTAAATAATAAAGGATGAGAAATAAATACCAAATCTTGAATAAAATTGAAGGTAGAAACCTTGAATCTTGAATTATAAAAACTTAGAAAAGTAGATGGACAACTAGTTCTTAATGAGAGAATAAAAAAATAATATAAGGCTTAATGAATAAAAGATAAAAAAGAA